AATATCACGCGTGATAATGAGGCATTCCTCCTTGCGGTTCATTTTCGGATTCTTGAAATTAATCCAGAATGCCTCTAGGGTTTTGCGCGCTTATGTTCTCGATTCTTGCGCGAGGATCGTTTTCCCTACTTCAAAATCCTCTTCGCTATGTCTCTGCGTCCTATGCGTGCCTAGTGGAGCATTTGGTTTACGTTTGCCGACTAGGTGTTCTTTTATATGTACGCAGAGTGGTCTACCCGTTTCGCCAACGTATTCGTCCCCGCACGCTTTACAAGAGATCAGATAGACTGTAGCCGAACTCATGCAGTCACCGTCTCTACCATTGGGGCAAATTATGCAATTTTGCGTTGCACACAGACGCTCGTATAGGCGGTTACCAACTAGCTGGCGTCTTAGATTACTCGGTGGTATTTCGATTATCGTTACCGAATTCTCTAGACTGGCCCTTCTTAAACAGCGTTTTATAGCTAACTATAAAAACTATTGTGCTATTAAATTATAAACTATTCTGCTGTTAAACTACTTTAAACTATTGTGCTCAGTATTTGGAGGACCGCCTCTGGAGGAGAATAGTGGGTGGGTCAGTGTTGATTTGCAACTCTATTAGATTTAATGCTAAAGTAACTTTGCGGAGAAAATTCGAAAACTTTTTGAGTAAATCGCATAACACGGCTTTAAGAGCATACAGTAACAGCGCCAACGGAGATCAAACGAGTCACAATAGAATAAATAACGGGCAAAGAAATTCAAGGCTAACCGTGTTAGGGGGCATGATTCTCCCTTACGGTGCACGCGCTCGTTATTAGAATTGGTACCGAGTTTCTCACCATCTGAACCCATTTTTAAGGTAACCTTGCGTAGGGTCGCATGTGGTTTACATGAACTTCAAGATAGACTCCGCAAAAAGCTAAAGATGAAGCGCTAAATAGGTGCGAACAACAAAAAGTAGGGGCAATCCTAGTACCACCATTTCCTCAACCGTTATTTAGACAACAAGAGCCCAATAATATTGATGTTAAATTTCGGTCGTTTGCGAACGAAACTTTCAAAGTCCTTAATCACTATCGCGCTAAGAGATACTGCTCCAACCTCACTGAAATACAAAAACGTATGCAGGAGGTACGAGAGCTGATAAGATCAAGAAACATAAGACTATCGGTTAGTGATAAGCGTGGAGAGTTCCCATCAGTTAGATGTTGAGATAACGGAAAAGCACCTTGACGATGCTTCCTTCTATCATCCGTCGTCTGAGAAGGAATTTAAAAGTCAATACCGAAAGTTAAACAACGAATGGGTTAAAGTGTCAAGAGCGGCAGGGTTAAAACCATCAGTTATTTCTCATCTCAAAATCGACTTACCAACATGTCCCGTCCTGTACTTACTTATCAAAACCCATAAGTTGGTATCCAGCGATGATCTCGTGTCTACCGATCCATCGTTATTCAAGGTTAGACCTATCATTACTTGCGTGGACGGGCCAACGGATAGAATAAAGTGGTTAATAACCCTAATACTTAGTCAGCTGTTGAAGTAGATTCCAGCTCATCTAACGAACACCCAAATGTTCCTGGATCGTCTACGTAACGCGCGACCCAACAGCACGTACGTGATGGAGTCGTTCGACGTCACCGCCCTCTACACAAACGTGTTGAATGACTCCGCTATGCAGGCCATCCGCGAGCTCCTTATACAACACGAAGGAGCAATAAACATGTACGGCTTCTCGATTCAGTAGTTGATGACACTCTTAAAGGAGTGCCTAAACTGCTCAATCTTCGGATGGTCCGGGAGGTATTACGCACATATGAGAGGGCTGGCAATGGGACAACGACTGGCACCAAGCCTTGCCAATGCATTCATGTTTAAGGTGCAAGCGCCAGTAATCGACCTCTGACCGTTACTCTACTGTAGATATATAGATGACTGCTTGGTCACTTGTTCAGCACAAGAAGAAATTGACAGATGTTTCGAGTTGTTGAATGAACAGTCAGAGTATATTAAATTCACCCGAGAGAAACCAAAAGAAAACTGGTTTCCATTTCTGGACGTGCAAATAAACCTATCAAAAAACGACTACATTACGAAATGGTATCGAAAGCCAAGTAGTAAAAACATCTTGGTTCATTACCTCTCCTCTCACCCCTTCCACACGAAAACAGCGCTTGTAAGAAACATGTTTCGAACAGCAACCAACGTGTGCACGAGAAGAGAGCAGAGAGAGGAGTCCCGGAGCTTGGCACGGCAAATAGCCGTTTCTAATGGCTACGAAACTGTAGCTCAGAATAGGTGTAGAGGAAACCACAGGTACCCCAACGATAACTCTAGCGACAATAAGGTCCCATTTATACTGCCCTTCATTTCAAGTGAAGTAAGTTCAGCTATAAAACGCTGTTTTAAGAAGGCCCGGTCTAGAGAATTCGGTAACGATAATTGAAATACCACCGAGTAATCGAAGACGCCAGCTAGTTCGCAACCGCCTATACGAGCGTCTGTGTGCAACGCAAAATTGCCTAATTTGTCCCAATGGTAGAGACAGTGACTGCATGAGTTCGGGTACAGTCTATCTGATCTCTTGTAAAGCGTGCGGGGACGAATACGTTGGCGAAACGGGTAGACCACTCTGCATACGTATAAAAGAACACCTAGTCGGCAAATGTAAACCAAATACTTCACTACGCACGCATAGGACGCAGAGACATAACGGAGAAGATTTTGAAGTAAGGGTTACGATCCTCGCGCAAAACTCTAGAGGCATTCTGGATTAATTTCAAGAATCCGAAAATGAACCGCAGTGAGGAATGCCTCATTATCACGCGTGATATTGGGCAGTATATAAGCTTGTTGTTTTGATGAGATGGGCACAGTACGATTCCGTGTGAGCTCTGTGTAGTCGGTCTCCACGTGACATACTCAGTGGAAGACTCATAGAAAGCGGTGAGTGTGCAGAGACTCTGTGTTCAATACGATTGAAATTTTGGTTCAGCATTTTCTCTGCTTGGTTATGGAGTCGTTTGGCCGTGTAGATTGTAGTTAACTTGACCTTTCCAGAGTCTGAGGAAGGCGAAATGCGCCGAAACGCTAGCTTGTTCGTGAATAAAGAAATAAAATAACACATCGTCTTTGCTGAACAAAAGTACAAAAAATTATCCAATCAATGCCGATGTTAATAGAAATTCGGACTTGGGAGTTACAAAGGCAAAGAATTTGTTTTATCGATAGTGGAAATACTCGACGATCAATGAGGGCGCAGTTGTTTGCTGAAATCTCTAACGGTTGTAAATAAACTTATGAATAACTCGTGTGTACTCGGTCGAAGCGTGACAAGTGTCAACATGGCCAGACCATTCCCAGTGCTGCTATACCTCACAGTTTTGTCAGATTATCATTCCAGTGACAATTTACTCATATATAATGGACGACAGGCAAGAAATTTGTGGAAAAGAAATAGAGCGCCAGAATGGGTTTCTTGATTTCTCTTTAGACTACTCTTCTAACAAGAAAAATGCTAATGTTTTGTGCAATAATAGTTGTCAAAGGCGTGTGTAATGCAACGATTATGGCAATACACATGCACTCGTTGATTCGATTCCGTATTGAGGCAAATCAAGCTCCCCTACCTCTGCGAAGTCTGCAAATCGGTAGCAAATTTTCCTAAGGGGATAGAATCCCTAATATGATACATGGAGTATTTAATATTTTTGTATGACCCGTCTTCACGTCTACTGTGCGCACCCCAGCACTTCTCACATTCGATTCGTTTCTTCTCATCCATTGTCCACGAAAATCTTCCAACTTTACATCTGACTTTGGCTACTGCTTGAGGATTTTCATTTCATCCTCAATACCGTAGAATGCTGGTCGAGCAATTCTCTCTGGAGTCTTGAGATAGCCGGGCTGGAGCGTTCCTAGTTAGGTTGCAGAGAGTCATTTTTTCCCAGACAAGTCTAGCGTCAATTTCACGGCCCCGGAGGGATGACAGGCTTGATTATCCCTGTGTGGGATCGATCTCGCACCATGCTCGTGATAACGGACATCACTACGACTGTGCTATGCGCCCCTCGATGCATGGAGTAAATCTCCTTAAATCAATACCTATACCAAATATGCATTCAGTGACCTTCATGATATTTCAAGGCGGCATGCTTTAAGCTTTATTCATTGTTATGACATGAAATACATGAAAGAATGTTCCTTTACCTGTTTACACCAAATGCACTGACAAAGTACTGTATCAGGAACGTTAGCAGTGAAACTTGCAGAGGATTGGTGAATCGACACTCGAGAAGCAGTCGTTGCAGCACTGCTTTACGTTGCTGTAAGCAGAAGAAATGGATTCTTCTACAATATTTATGGATAGCTGTGGTTGTCCGGTGATAATCGCTTGTTGTTTGCGGACAATCCATCCTATAGAAGTCGATATTATTATCAGCTAGTACAAAGCGTAACAATATTTCAATATCGACTTTCCTTTAATAAATGTGGACCATCGATTCGGATAATCGACTCTGATGAAGACAAAACCGCCGGAACGCTAGCCAAAAATAAAGAATATTTATCAACGTCGTGTCATATTATCAAAGAAAGAATGCATGCTCTCATTAATGTATGCTTCTTCTATCTATACAAGATATTCATTAATTAGCAATTGAATTAGTAATAGATTTGTAAACCATGAAGGGAAATAACCACTAGAAGCTTTGCTTTAAAATAAAAGTATGCACATCAACATTTAGTCCTTACAGTACCGAGTACACGTTTATCCGTTTACCCTTTTTTATCACTTAACGATCCGATATGAATTGATTCCTATTCATACGTGCCAGAAAATAACCGTAGTTGGAAACCTTAAGTAAGAATATCTCAGCTCGTAGTGAACTCTATTAACTGAAATAAAAACTGTTAGACTTAAACGCTTAGAATCATCGGTTATTTCGCACTTTAAAATTAATAGACCAACATGCCCAGTCTTATACCTACTTATTAAAACACATAAGTTAGTATCAGCTATAAGTTTTTTTTATAGTTTTATAGTTTATAGTATCATATAAAAATCTCACAATTAAATGCCCTACTATTACATTAACCGTTAAACGAATAGTTAATGCTATTGGACGAGATAACTCTCTTACTACCTCTACTAATAACATTCTAAAAGTTTTTAAAAATTTATCTCCTAACTTACTAAAATAAACAGAAACCTTCATCCCCGAAATCATTAACAAAAACGTAGTTAACCAAGCTAACAATGCATATAACAAAGTAAACTCTAATATTCCACAAATACAAAAAGAATAAGTAAAATACCCACCAAAACAAAATAACAATAACACTACAAAAGTAAAAAGAGAAATTACATAACTCATTACATAACTCTTTTCATAATTAAAAACACCTGATAAAAAAAAATCCTTTAAACAAGTCCCTAATAATCCTTTCATCAATATACACCACATAATGCAACAAAAAAATAAACAAAAACACATCTAAAAAAACTTATTAATAAAAAAAATCATAAAATCTTAAATACAACCTACTAAAAAAAAAATAAATAAACCAGAGAAACAGGCAAAAACTTAAATCAAAATATTCCTATTATCAAATCATAACGATAACGAGGATATGAACTCCGAATAAAAATTATTAAAGAAAAAACTAAATAAATAAAAACACAGAAAAATTAAAAAACAATACTGAGTACAACACACAAAAAAAAATTAACCTACCATATTCTCTCAAGAATAAAAGTACAAAAGCTACTCTACCAAACTCTACATTATAACCACTCACTAACTCTCTCTCACCCTCCGCAAAATCAAAAGGAGCTCGATTAACTCAGCCACAATTATAATTAGAAAAGGTAAATATAAAATAATCATCAATAATTCACAGCCCTTTTTAAACATTAATAAACCTACTATTAACATTACAGCCAATAAATAAATTGAAAAAGCAATTTCATAAGAAACTCTCTGCCTTCTTGCCCGTAAAGCACCAACTATCCCATATTTGGACTTTCTAATATAACCACTTAACATAACTGAATAAACCCCAAAACCTAATAAGCATAAAAAAAACAACAAAGAATACTCCATCCTTAAAAACTCAAATACATATGGTAATATAAATCACCTTAAATACATCAACACAAAAGAAACTCCAGGCACTAAAACAAATACTAAATCAGAAGTATAAAGGGGTAAAACTTGCTCTTTCTTTAATAACTTAACCCCATCTAACAAAGCTTGTAAAATACCCATAAAACTCACCTTAGTAGGACCTAAACGAACCTGCCTTCTACCCAATAAATGCCGCTCATACAAAGTAATAAAAGCAATTGACTGTAAAATAAAAACATCAACAAAAACAATATCAACACAATCATTAACAACAAGAATCAATATCTTTAGATTTACAATCTAATATTTTCAATTAAAATAGATCCCCCTCATCTTAATTAAGAGTAAACCCTTTGATCAACAATCAATAATTCTAATTATCTTTAAACTAACCCTTAAAAACTACAAGAAAACCCCCCTTTCTTATAAACTGTTTTCAAAACAGAATTAAGTAGTTTAAAATATTAGATTCAGGTTCCCCTAAATCTACTTTACTACAACTTACTCCCCTATAGGCAATTGATGGATGATTTGTACCATTTCTAAATACTCTTCAAAGAAACATAAAAACTTTTTTTTACTGTCTTTTACAATTTCATATCAGAACTACCCTAATAATCCACAATACAAAATATTGTAGGTCAAACCAAACTTATATATAAACCAAATATATATCTATTTTCACGGTATAATTCCAATCTCACAAACCTTAAGTTTAAGATAAACGATCATACATGAGCCAATAAAACAAGTAGTTAATGAGGGTTCTCAATTACTATTCAACCTCCAAAGATAATTTAGACAATCTGCCAATATTCTTTCAGTTTAAATTCAACTTTACTCCTGAATATTTAATTTATCACTAATTAGGTACTAATCTAATTCGTATTTTAAAATCTTAATGATATAAAAAACTCAAACAACAAATTTTAATTCTACCTAAAATTCCTAAAATCTATTTTTTAAACAATTTTACATCACAACAAAAATAAAGTTTAAGTTCTACTAGTATAGCCGATTATTCTGGAACCAGTATATTACAAACAATTAATTGCCAAGGTAAAAAATTATTGCCTACATCATAAATTAAAATTAAATAATATCATTTTAAACCTTAATAAACCATAATCAAATTTTAACCCATAAAAGCAACCCTTAACAAGATATTAAACCCCTTTATCGAAAATAAAAAATACTACAATATACTAATATCTCCCCACCCACATAGACAAAAATTTTTAATTTTGAAAATTAACAGTTTAATTTAACTTAAATCTATAAAAAATCCTCAAATCATTCCCATAAAATTTCACACTACCTACTATAATTACAATCCCCAAAATTCTAGAAATAACTGAATGACACATAAAAAAAAAAAATATCATACTACTAAAAACTCCCAAAAAATTTCACAAAAACCCTTATCATCAAAAATTCCAAAGAAATCAAAATAAAAACAAATCGATATCACTTAAAAATCAATATTAACAATCTAATAAAAAAAAAAATAATCCTTTAAACCTATAACCTACGCAAAGCCCCAGAAAAACTTAAATAATAACTCACAAATCTCATAAAAAAAACAAGCAATAAAATTAAATACATCAAAATAAATACATTCAACTCATAATAAAAAACAGCTAGACCTACATACAACCATTTACTATAATCCATATCAACTACCATCAAAAAAAACACAGTCAACAAAAAAAAACAACAATCAATAATAAACATTAAAATCTACAAATCTTGACAAACTAGAAAAATACACTAAAATCACAAAAATCCCCCTCAAAAACAATATACAAACAAAATAAGAATATCACACATAACTTACAAAAGACATAACAGGTATACAAAACAACATAGAAAAAACCAAAAAAAAACTACTCTTAATCGGATCTCTATTAACATAACTCAACACACAAAAAGACAAAGAAATCAACAACATAAAATCAACAGAATCCACAAACTTATTCATCGTAAATGAATTATTCTTAATTAAACTAAAGATTCTCCCATTTGGTCAGCAACAACATCTTAGCAACCCAAATGCTATATTTTATATAAACTATATACTGTATAAAAATATATAAAGTGTAATTATAAAATCTTTATTCCCGTCTATATAAGAATATTTCTCTAGATGAGAAATCTATTATAGACTCAAAAAAATAAAGATTTAATAAATACGCTTGAACTTTGTTCAATTTTTTTACAATATATTATATAAAACTAGTTTTATATAATATAGAATATATATTAAATATTATATTGACCAAAAGAAAATTAATATAACCCCAAATAGAATCTAAATCTTATAAATGCAAATCATATATTATTCCTTTAAACTAAGATCCCACAAAAATAAAAAAATTAAAAAAATTAAAAAAACTAAGCTATTGTAGCCTAATCTTCCTATAAATATTCCTAAAAATTTTCTAAAAAATCTTAATACATAATATAAACCAAAACTTCCTCATCTTATCAACCCATAATCAACAAACTTATAATTCAATCTAATATAAGAAAAAATTTTAGAAAAATAATCAACAAAAAACTTATAAATCAACTCCTTTAACAAAAATTTCACCAGTATAAAACATAAAAATAACAATAAAAACACATAAAAAACAGGTAAATAAAAATCAATATATAAAAAGAAACTTGGCAAACATAACAAATTAATACCTAATCAATACATAAAAACCACAGAAAAAATAATTAAAGACAAACTTAAATAATTCATTAAAAAACTTATTAAAAAAACCTAAAACCAATAAAACTCTCATAAAAAACAGTTATAAAACCAAAAAAAAAAACACTTCAAATTCTATCTATTCTTAAATAATCCAAAATAAATATAACTTTCTAATATAAACATACACAGATATAAAAAAAGCGACTTTTCAACACTAAAATTAATAATTTTTATTTTTAAAACAATAAAACTATTAAATTTTCTACTTATTTTTTCTATTTTTTATAAACCATAAAATTTTCTTTAAATAATATACAATATTAAAATTTACATAAAAAAATTTATAGCTCAAAAATCCTTTACTCCACAAATAAAAATTTTATCAATATTAAACTAACGAGCTAACTAATCTAAAATAACGTTACATCAACTCTTAAAATTCTCTAATAAAGTCACCTCAACAGCAATAGGTATAAAACTATGATTAGCCCCACAAATTTCAGAACACTGACCGTAATAAACACCCAAATTAGAAAATCTATAATTCAAAATCCTTAAAATCCCCCTCATAGCATCCAACTTTACAGATAAACCTTTACAACAAGAGAAAACACCCAAAGGACATGAACCTTATAGACTAAACTTATCCTATCCTGCTAAAACCCATAAACCTTCTAATTTGCAATTAGAAATACAAACTTATACTTAGAGTTTTAATACTTCAAATTTCTTCTTCTAAAATAAATCTCTGATTGATAACTATGACCAAATACATAACTTCTATATCTATACTCAGGACTCCTATTATAATAATTATCTATCAAAACCAAACGATAACTAAAAAAAGACTCTAATAACAAAAAAATAAACATAAATAAAGCAAAAACACTTAACAAAGAACCAAAAGAAGAAACTACATTTCAAACTGAATAAATATCAGGATAATCCAAATATTTTCGAGGATAACCATGCAAACCAGCAAAATGTAAAGGAAAAAAAGTTAAATTTACACCTACAAACATCAAAATAAACACCACTACCATAAACAATTTATTATACACACAACCTCTTATAAAACTTCATCACAAACTAATACCTGTAAAAATACCAAAAACTGCCCCCAATCTCAATACATAATGAAAATGTCTAACTACATAATAAGTATCATGTAAAATAATATCCAAACTTGAATTAGATAATATTACCCCTGTTAAACCCCCAATAGTAAATAAAAAAATAAAACCCATAACTCATAATAAAACCGGTTGAAAAACCATCTTCATCCCAAACAAAGTAGCCAATCAACTAAAAACTTTAACACCCGTAGGAACAGCAATAACCATAGTAGCAGCAGTAAAATAAGCACGAGAATCCAAATCCATACCTACTGTATACATATGATGAGCTCAAACCATAAAAAAAATCTTGCGTCAAAAAGTCCATCATCGCTTAAGGTTAGACCCATCATTAGCTGTTTAAACGGACCAACGGTTACGATAGTCTGGTTTCTAAGCCTAATACTAATCTCGTTGCTCAAACATATTCCAGCTCATCTCACGAACACCCAAATGTCCCTAGAACGTCTATGTAACCCGTCTCCTAATAACACGTGCGTAATGTAGTTCTTCGACGTTCCCGCGCTGTACACCAACGTATCGAATGACACCGCAATGTAAGCCGTCCACGAACTTCTTGTTGAACATGAAAGAGGAATACATATGCATGGCTTGTCTATTCAGCAGCTCGTCGCTCTCTTAACAGAGTGCCTAAATTGCTCGATCTTCAGACGGCCTGGGAAATATTTCGCGCAAATAAGGGAGCTCGCAATGCAACAGGGACTGGTACCAAGCCTTGTCATTGCGTTTATGTCTAAAGTAGAAGCTCCCGCTCTCGATCTGCGGCTGCTACTCTACTGCAGATATATAGATGATTGTTCTGTCGTCTTCCCTACGCAGGAGGAGACGGACAAATGCTTCGAATCATTGAACGAGAAGTCTGAGTACATTGAATTCACCCGGGAGAAATCGAAAGAGGCCTGGCTTCCATTTCTTAACGTTCAAATCAACTTATCAAGTAACGGTTGTATGACAAAGTGGTACCGCAAACCAAATAACAAAAACATCCTGGTTCATTTCCTTTCTTTCCGTTCTTCACACATAAAGAGGGCGCTTTTGAGGAACATGCTTCGAACAGCCACCTCTGTGCACACAAATACGAAACTAAAGGAAGAATGGCACGACTTGGCTCGACAAATAGCCATCTCCAGTGGCTACGAAATAGTAACCCCACGAGATTAGCTTAAAAGGAGAACGACTCCCCAAAATAAACGATTTGGCCGAAACAAAATCCCCTTTGTCCTGCTCTTTATTGGCGATGAAATAAGTGTAGCAATAAAGCAATGCTTAAGCAGAGCAGATCTAAAGGAATCGGTGGGGATAATTGAAATACCACCAAATACTCTGTCGTCAGTTAGTTCGTAACGATCTGTATAACCGTCTATGCGAAACACCAAAGTGCATAATCTGCCCTTACGCCAGAGGCGGTGACTGTGTGAGTTCAGGTACGATATACCTGAGAACGCTTCGAGAGTTTTGCGCGCTTGTGTTCTCGATTCTTGTGCGAAGGTCGTGACACGTACTTCAAAGTTCTCCCTTTATGTCTCTGGGTCCCTTGATTGCCTAGTGGTGTATTTGGTTTACGTTTGCCGACTAGGTGTTCTTTTACCCGGGCACAGAGGGGTCTGCCCGTTTCGCCAATGTATTCGTCTCCGCACGCCTTTCAGAAGATCAAATGAACTGTACCCGAACTCATGCAATTACCGTCTCTACCACTGGGGCAAATTATGCAATTTTGAGTTGCACATAGACGGTCATATAGGCGCTTACGAACTGGCTGGCACCTAGGATTACTCGGTGGCATTTCAACTACGTTTACCGAATTCTCTAGACCCACCCTTCTTAAGCAGTGTTTTATAGCTGTGCATACATCACTTGAGATGAAGGGTAGGAAAAACGGGACCTTTTTATCGCTAGAGTTGTCGTTTGGGTGCCTAGGATTTCCCCTACACCTATCCCGAGTTACAGTCTCGTAGCCATTAGAAATGGCTATTTGTCGTGCCAAGCTCCAGGTCTCCTCTCTCTGCTCTCTTCGCGTGCACACGTTGGTTGCTGTTCGTAACATGTTTCTTACAAGCGCGCTTTTCGTGTGAGAAGGGTGAGAGGAGAGGTTATGAACCAAGATATTTTTACTACTTGGCTATCGGTACTACTTCGTAATGTAGTCATGGACGTTCAGGAATAGAAGCCAGCCTTCTTTCGGTTTCTCTCGGGTGAATTTGGTATACTCTGACTGTTCAACCAACATTGTGTCAGCGTTTTTTTGTTTGGTTATGGAGGTGTTTGGCCGAATAGATTGCTGTCAGATTGACCTTTCCAGACTCTGAGAAAGGCGAAATCCGCCGAAATGTCAGCTTATTCGTGAATAAAGAATAAAAGTAACACGTCGCGTTTGCACAACAAAAATACGAAGAATTACTTGATCAATGCCGAGGTTGATAAAAAGCCGGTCGTGGGAGTATTTCTTTATTTTCGTTCTTGTTTAAAGACCCGCATTTTGAACCGTAAAGCAGTCTACCGAGCTGGGTTTCATCCAATAGGACAACACAGTGCTTCTCAATGTACTGCTTATCATTTGTCTTCAATTTTTTAAAAGTTTTAGTTACAAACACATTTAAATTTGAAAGTACACTGAACAAAAATTGCACGTGCAATTATTGCAATAAAGTCTGCTTTCCCTAAAGTCAATAGATCTACAATGTTCTCAACTCTTGAAATACCCTAGGATTTAGCATTTAGTGTCGAGAAGTTGTCGTCATTTATCTAGAAACCAGCTTTGTCGGGAAAGGGCTAAGTGCTGTTCATTTTTGTCCAGTGGAGCCTGGTTCATCAGGATAATTGTTAAAATCGCCATCAACGCCTATGGTGTCCTGAAATCAAAGAAAATGACAACTTGTCGCCTCTACACCGCCACGACCTTTCTGGAATATCCATGAAGAACTGATCATGGCCAGGCGACCATGGAATGAGTTGGAAGTTTTTCTTCTTCTTTTTGTAATACCAAGGACAGAGAACTTGCAACCAGTAACATATTATATAGATGAAAAACGGAATGAATGTGTTACAGAAGGAAGATAGAAGGATAGTAAGAGCAAAAGATTTCCCCTTAAAACACTCAAAAATGTGATGAAACCTGCAGGCTTGAGATCATCAATCAAGAATCGATTCGAAATAAAGGAGTGGGAAGTGGAAATATGAACATCTTCGCACTTCGTCACCGCGATGAATTGACTAAAGTTGAAGCAATGTGAAACCGACTACTTTAATCACGCAAAGGGTATTTCCCGATGTTACATATTCCAGCAGTCAAATTCTTAAACAATACAAAAACAAAACTTTCGAAAAATCAGTTTGAGATCCCCGTTTGTGGTTGATGTCCTTTTAGAGGAAATTCCTCGGAGTAGCAGTCAATTAACGGTAGCCACTAAACCGCCCCCAATGTGGGGCGTGGCAACTCCTTATTGCCTTTAGTTCAGGCGAGTGGTGGCGAATCATTCCGTTCGTGGACGGCAGAAATCTCCTCTAAGACTGAAGACACTTCGCCGCGCTAATGCTCGATGACAACCATCGTCAACTTGTCGAAGCTACGTCAACATAGTTTTTTCGATTATTTCATCGTATTCGTAATTTCGATTCTCGCATTCAGCAATACCTTCAATGCAGATTTTGTCTACGATGACAGGTAAGAACAGTTTTATACATGTTTTGAGGACATCTGAGATATTTATGACTAGGAAAATGGTTAGAAACAAGTACTCTAATTAGTAGTAATTAGACGTATCTTAAAAACTTCTAACATAAAATAAAATGTGCAAGCTTCTCAATTTATCTTTCACATCGATTCGTTTTTTAAGCACTTATTACTTAGGCTCTATTCATATATGAACTTCTGAGGTTGTAAATGAGTGGTCCGGAAAGTTCCATGGCTTCCCAATATCTAACTGCGTGGGCGAGTCTTGGGGTAAACTTCCATCAAAAATTGAGAACTTCGCCTTCATAAAGACCATAGGTTGTTCTCTTGCAAACCACGTTCATTTGAAACTTAGTATTCCTTCTTGACTGTGTAGTACGATGAGTACGTGAAACCAGAACAGCATTTTCCCTCCACACTTTCAAAAAATTAAATTGCACAAAGGTGATTAGGATTAAAAAGGAGTGGTCCAGTACGAATTACTTTCATAGAATCAAACTACTAATTCAGATATATAGTCCTCAGAGATGGCAGATCTGGAGCTAGTTGTTGAAGTGCAGCGACTAGAAATTGCTCACCATCGCGACATTGTGGTCAATCTCGATAAAGCAGGCCCGTCTTTGACTACTACCTGACCATCTGCATGGTGGAAACGATGACTCGGTTCATCAGTCGTAGTTCTCTGTTGGGAATGTCGTCTCCCCGAGCCCTGCAGAGCTCTTGCATGGCGTACAGTTCAAAATAAATTTTGACGGTTTCGTAGTGAATAAACTTCACATTTTCGAAAACTAAGTTATTAGAATTGTCCAAGTAAAAGGTTGTCTGATAAAAAAGTGATTAAAAACCTTGTGAAGCAAAACTCTGTCTCGATAATAACAACAATAAGAAGTTCGCAATTTTCCACATGGGCGAGCTGACGCAAGGTTTCCATAAACTTTGGTTCGGCTTACATTTCGTCGTCTTCGTCTACCTCTGAGCCACGTTGATTTGAGTCGGTGGTCTACAGGTGGTCTTATCACAAAGTGGGTATTCGTTGTCGCATCGAGGATGGATGAACCGCTTGATCTCACTCAGCGATGCCTTTTTGTACAGGACGTGTGTTGGCTCATTCCTGGCTCCAATATGATCAGCTTTGGGCCGGAAATGCTTCCCGTCGCAGGCGTCGGTATTTCACTGGCTGGCACGCATTTTCTGCATTTGCTCATAAAACCATGAAGTCGTTTTTTAAAGAAACCACTGCTCCTTGACAAGATGACGTGTTTTATAAGTGAGCAGATATCTTCACGTTCTTTATCCGTTCATTTCTAACGCATTTAATACGAGTGGCAAATGAATAAACCTTTTCAAAAGCCGATTAGTCGCTGCTGTCAACAAACATATCGCTCCACACGCTGTAGTTTCGGTAATAAAGGTTTCTTCACACTACTTTTTGCAATTTAAACTGCCCATAGAATTTTACTTCATAAACAACCATTAAAATTCACTGATGTAACACAGTATTACGGTAATAGACAAGCAGTAAAATGGAGTTCCTATT